TCATTAATAACTGTGCCACATGAAACATGATCTTCTTGAAGTACTGTATGTCCTTTCCATTTTCATATCCAATTCAGGGAGTCACTACATAATGGTCTCTACATATTGCCTTTGGTAAAAGGTGTACAGCCTTTCTAATATTCACAACTAGTGTCTTGTCTCCAAGTTTTGACAGGAAAGTGTATAAATGTGAACAGGTTGGCTTACACCTATCACAGTGGGTCAAAATCCTGGAAAAAGTAGTCCTGAAGTGCATTGCAGCTCATGCAACCTCTCACATTTTTGTTGTTTTAATGTCACAGAACTGTACAAGACGTACAGTGCTAGTGGCTGCCAGAACCGTCTTACGTATTTCTAATGCCTCTGGACTCCATTTGTGATGTACATGTTGGAGGTGAGACCAAGATGTATTTGGTTAAGGACAATGGTGACACTAATTGAAGCTGACAAGCTCGGTGTTCTCTTCCCCATTCCAGGCTGAGAGAATAATGAGTGATGCTTTTCCTCTGATCCCCACTGCTGCCACCTGCATCCACCTCTTCCCTGGTAAACTAAGAAGTTAAAATCTGTCAGGACCAGAATTTATATTTATAGATAGTCCACTGTTAGACATGGAAACCCATTGGTGTTCCAGAAGTGTGATTCAGGCAAACGTTCATGGCTGAGCCATCATACTTGGAAATGAAGCTTTTGCCTTGTAAGGGCCAATCTTGAAACAAAGCAATCTCATTTGCAAACTATCAAAAGTGCAAAACACTCACAGACATTCACAGACATTCTCAGCACTTAAACAATTCCTTCTTTTTTCGCTTAGGCATTCAGTCTTGGTTTTGTAGTACTTTTTGGCATCTTCTGGAGTTGTCTTTTGAGTCCTAGTTTTTTTTTTAATTGGTTATGCCATTCTTATTTTCCTCCTCATATGGAAATCAATGCAGGTTTTTATATTTGTTTTCAAAAGAGCAAAACAAAGGTATAGTGTTCTGCTTATATACCACCTCATAGCACTTAAAGCACTCTCAGGGCAGTTTACAATTTAATTATGCACATTAACACCTGCAGGAAGCTGGGTACTTTATTTACCAATCTTGGAAGGATGGAAGGCTGAGTCAACCTTGAGCTGGCTACCTGAATCCATTGGGAATGAGAGTCGGGCAGTGGGAACTGTAGTACTACAATTTAACCACTGTGCCACAAATGCATTTCTCTTAATGTTCACATTTCCTCCATTTGCTAAAACCTGTCTGTACAAGTTTTTGAAATAGAGGTATTTAGTCACGGACATTTTTCAAATCTAGAGATTTCCAGAGCAAGGTGTCCTTTGCCAGTTTCAGGAGGTACAAAGTTCATGTTATTGGTGAGAAAGTCCAATCCCAATGCATTTCCATAATGAACTTTGTGGATGGAAGAAGAAGAGTGTTTTTTTCTTTTTTGTTTTTTACGTGAACATCTATAGTAAGACTTGTATAGGTCCCCTGCAGACCTGGTCCAGGCCCTGATTCATCTTGTGCTAGTTCACATGTAAGTAATATGAAGTTTTTATTGATGATCCAACACAGATTTAATAAGATGCTTAAATCACGAACGCAATTTAATTAAAATGCTGTGGTTAGCAGTTAGAATAGATAAAGCCGTGGCTCCTAGGAAATGCATGCAAGTTCACTGCAACCGTACCGTATCCATCACAGTATTTCTCTCTGATTTGTGATCTTAATGTCGTACTTAATAAATCATGATGTTCAGCGTTACATAAGAAATATTGAAACAAAGGAACCTCAGCACATAATATTCATATCACAAATGTATGTCTCTGACAATTTTTTTTGAAAGCTTGGAAACATTTGACTGCCATGTAAGGTGGATGGCAGTGGGTGTGTTACAGTTGCAAGATTACATCCCTAAAGTGTTTTTGGCTCAGCTGTCTCCTATAAAGGCAGTATGATGTTTTCATTGTAAATGGGCTGTGCTGATTACATACCTACAACCTTTAACAGCTTGTCAGCAATTAGCTTTTCCTTTTTTTCCCCCCTCCTCAATCCCTAGGTGGTGTTTGCATTGCTCAGTCTTTAAAAATCCCCCGTGAACCGAGACCAGGAGAATTTGACAAGATCATCAAGCGGTTGATGGAGACTCCTAATGCTCGTGCGGTGATCATGTTTGCCAATGAGGATGATATCAGGTGCTTGCTTATCTTTCTATTTCAGTCCTGCATAGGATGGGCAGCTTGTTATTGGATACAGCTAGTGAGATACATGGTTTGAAACCAATACGGAATCCCTGGCAACACTGAGATACATAGGAATTAAAATATTGCCAGTATTGAACTGCTGGGTTAGGCATCTGGCTGCAGAGCTAGAGGTTGGGAGTTCGATTCCCCAGTGTGCCTCCGTGACAGTGGCTGGACTTGATGATCCATAGAATCTGTTCTAGCTCTGCAATTCTAAGATGATGATGATGATGATATAGCACAGTATACCATTGCTCCATAGAAACCCAACAATTACTGGATTTACTCTAATTACAGTTTTGTATAAGAGTGAGATTCCCCAAAGGCGTAGGTTCCTTTAAAATGATCCAGATTTTTGGGAGGAAGGGGAATACTTTTTTTAAAAAAAGGGAATTTACTTTTCTAAGCCAAACTGTAGGATTCAGGGAGGGCGGGGGAATGGGACCCTGCCAGTGTTTGCTAATCTCAAAAGCTCCCAATAGCCCTCGTCCCTTGAAAACAGTAGTTCTCAACCTAGGGAAATCCAGAGGTTCTTGGACTGTAGTTCCCAGAAGCATTCATTCCCAGTTGTGATGGCCAGAGTTTCTGGGATTTGCAGTCCAAGAACACCTGGGTTATCCAAGGGTGAGGACTGCTGCTTTAAAAAATATGCATTGCTTTTCCTAATTTAGCTGTCACAAAGTGGGAATGTTGTGAACCACAATGGTGTCATACACAAAAAAGTGAGGATAATCTGTCACATTCTTTCATCTTTCTTCGTGTCTCTCACCATGGGGACAAAAATTCTAGGGGATCACGGAAGAATTATTTATCCATAATTAGTGAAAGAAGAAAACAGTGACAGAAGACAGTGAAGGGAAAAGTAATCCCCCCCCCGGCATAATCTTGACAATAAAAAAAGAGAGAACAAAGGGTATAAAATACTTTGGGAGGGTTGCAGTCTGTAAGAAATTATTTGCAGAGTAAGTGATGCTGGTGGGAGATAAAAAGTAAGGAAACACAAGAATAAAACTTGTTTCAGAGTAAGAGAAGAATTTGGAAGCTTGCTTCTCTTTTGAGGTAAGGTTTTATATGGCTCCAGAGTTTGTACCTTGTCCTACTTTGGGAGAACTTGACTGGCAAATAATTTCGGAGACCAAAACAAATGGAGCAAATAAGAATGATAGATGGAACGATGTTAAAAGAACACGAGAGAAAGGCTGATGCAAATTAAAATGTTTACTGTGTTGCCATATTCACAATATAAGTCTGTACTCTGTTTTTAGGAGGAAGATACTTCATTCTATGAGAAAGAGTATTTGATGAACTGGATAAATGTAACCAGTGTTAAGAATATCTCAGCTTTTAGTACATGTTTTAAAAATAATTTTTCTTCTTATTTTTTTTAAATTTACAGGCGAATATTAGAAGCAGCTAAGAAAATCAATCAAACTGGGCATTTCCTTTGGATAGGTTCAGACAGTTGGGGGTCTAAGATTGCTCCCGTTTATCAGCAAGAAGAAATTGCAGAAGGCGCCGTCACCATTTTGCCCAAAAGAGCTTCCATCGATGGTAAGATTATCTCATTGATTCTAGTGAGGATGAACTATTAGAGCCCTTGAAGTATAAATTTCAAATCACTTTGAGCTCAGTGCCACAAAGGAATTCAGGGAGTTAAGCACCCTTTATGGGCTTCTGATGGTGACAAAGAAAGACTTTGAATTATATTTGCACCGTGTTTTCTGCAGCTGCATTATCTTTTCATTCCCTCTTGTATAATTACCGAGTGAAATAGTCTCTCAAGACGGTTGTTGGAAGCCGTAGGTTTCATTGTGCTTCCAATTTATAGCTTCTCCAAGATAAGGGGAATTTCCTTCTGTTGCCAACAGTCTTTATATGCCTTGTTTACTATACATTAGATCCTTCCCATACTAGAGAGCTCCACCCACTTTCCATATACCAATTACATCACTTCCTTTCACTGTCAGTCATAGACCTCTATGTGCTCTTAATGGATTCTTATGCCATTTAATTTGTGTTGTTTGCCTGTGGAAAATGGATTGTCTCTTCACGCCTTACGGGTGAAAATTAGATATACAAACCCTGTGTATTTCCAGATCCTAGACCTGCAGACTACATAAATGAAAAGTCATATATGGAGAGAAAATAGTTCAATGCTGAATACAAGGTTGCATGAAGAAAGTGTCAGGTTCACTAGGTTTCATGTTTGGTTAAGAAAACAGGATCAATTATGGTAGCAGGTGATGCGAAAAGTCTTGTTTTGTTTCTTTGAAAACCTAGAGTTGCTTTTGGGAGTAAATTATTCTGATCAAGGTGAGCAAATACACTGACCTGGGGTTAGGCAGTCTTTCATCAAAACTAGTGCATTTATGGAATAAATCAGTATGTAGTGGTGTGTGGGTTCCATCATTTGTTTTATGTAACATAGAAAACTCAGTACAGTATAGGTTGTCAAATTCTCCCATCAAGAAAGTGTATTTAAGATGTAAATCTAAGTACACACTTTAGTGAGCAAAGCCCCTTTGTTGCAGTGGCTTTATCTGAATGTTGTTGTCAAATTTATTCAGCAATGTTTACTGTGTCTAGATGGAACTTAGCCTGGGCTTGTACATCCCCCCCCCTCCTCCTCCAGCGTGACCACAAAGATGAGCCCAGAAGTTTCCATGTCAAGTTAATTTCAGTTTAGGCCATCTTGTATGCACCTCAAACTGTGGTTAATCTTAACCATGTCTTGTTGAAACAAATCAGCATTCTAACACAAGATTGAAGTCGGTGTGCATTTAAAAAATATGTGGTAACATTAATCATGGTTTGTTGGTTTTGGATGATACAACTTTAAACAAAAATGAAAAAAAACATTAAATCTCATGTAGCTATTCCAGATAATTAAAGTAAGGAGGGATAGAATGGGCTAGCCTGGTTCGAGTTATCATAAACCATGGTCCATTGAGGCTTTTTGAATAAATCTATCAGGGTTACTTCTTAGTAAACACGTCAGATATCATTGTTTAAAATGTTTGGATCAATATTTCTATAAAAACATTTATGTGATACAGAATATATGAAACAATACAATCCAAGCCACTTACAGTCAACCCTCAACTTACGAACAACCCTAGTTACAAACATTTCGACTTACGTCAATATTTTTTATAAAAAACATTTATGTGATACAGAATGTATGAAACAATACAATCCAAGTCACTTACAGTCAACCCTCAACTTACGAACGGCCCTAGTTACGAACATTTCGACTTACGAACCGCTCTGATAGGAAAATATGGACTCGACTTGCGAACTTGGATTCAAGTTACAAACAGAAAAAAAGTGCAGGGAAGGCAGGGAAAGCAGGAAATTTGAACTTTCAGTTAGCAAAGAGGCTGCTTGTCTGCTTCCTCGCTCATCCAAGCGGTTAGAGAGTGGGAAGAGAGACCTGGGACTGCCTGGTATTGTCACTTTTAAATGTAAAATTTAGTTCAAAAGCTGCTTTGTTTGGGTTAAACAGTGCTTGGGTAAAAGGGAGCTTGGTTTGAATTAAAACCTGCTTGGGTAAAAACATGCTTGGTTGTTTAAAAGCGGATTGTTTTGAATTAAAAGATGCTTGGTTGAAAATGTGCCTGTTTTGGTGTAAAAGGTGCTTGATTTAAAAAGTGTTCGGTTTAAACAGTGTTTGTTCGTTCCCTTTGTGGTTTCCTGCCTTTTTTTTTAACCTACGCCATCTTAGGTTAAAAAAAGAGAGAGAAAATCTGCCCCTAGTGGTAGAAACGGATTAACCGGCTTTGCTTTAGTTCCTATGGGAACTAATGCTTTGACTTACAAACTGCCCCTTGACCTAAAAACCAAAAACAGCAGAATGGATTAATTGATTTTCAGTGCATTCCTATGGGAATTGCTGATTCGAGTTAAGAACTTTTCGACTTACAAACTTCCTTCCAGAACGGATTAAGTTAGTAAATCAAGGGTTGACTGTAAAATGTATTTTTAATACATGTCCTTTATTTGTGCATGTATATTTGTTTTTACATAGGCTTTGACAGGTATTTCAGAAGCCGGACTCTAGCAAATAACAGAAGGAATGTGTGGTTTGCAGAATTCTGGGAAGAAAATTTTGGATGCAAGTTGGGTTCTCATGGAAAGAGAAATAGCAACATAAAGAAATGTACAGGTAACTACCTCACCAAAGTGCTTATCTCGTTTGAAATGTCTATATTAATACACGGAAATTTATTCAACAGTTCTTCAGGTCATGTTATGCCTGTTCTTCACACCTGAATCATATAATCCCACTACTATGTCAGAATTCACATACTTACAATCCATCCAGATCAAACCAAGAACATATCAGCACTATCCAGTTGTATCTGTTAGATAGCATTTTGATGATTTGGGTTTAATCCTATGAAAAACTGAGATTTGTAGTTTGGTGAGGGGCAGTTTCTGTTGTAAGTCGGGGGGGGGACATAGACCTTTCTATTAAATAATTTTGGGTGCCTCACCAAAGTGCAAACCCCAGGATTTCAGAGTATGGAGCCATGGCAATGAAACTGGTATCAAACTGCTGTAATGTTGCAGTGTACATACTGGACGTTTGTAACCGGTATGTCCCTTTATATTCTGGATATGAAGGAAGATAGTGTTTTGTCCAGCTCCAGAAAAAAGGTGAAATTTGTGTTGTGCAATAGTTTGTCCTCTATTTTTCACAAATGTTTTATTTCCCTGTCAAAAATGCTTCCATTTTTAATGGGTCATTCTCATTTTTTACACTTACTGCTACACTGCAAGATAGCCAAGAGTGCTGCATTTCTTTGCCCCCCCCCCGTGACATCTCTCAACATCAACAGCTGCCCAGCCAGCCGACACTTCCTGATCTTAAAAAAACTGTGGAAGAAGTTTGACATTGTCTTCTGGAATTTAATCTAAATATGGGAGGCTGGAGGGGGGCATTGTGCATTGCAAAGAGAGGACTGGAAAAGGCAAGGCAAGACACGCATGGCCTTTCATAAGTAAACAAAAGCACAAGAAGCTTGAATCTCAGTCATGAGAATTTCTGAGAAATTGTAACACTAAAATTCTATTTAGACAAGTTTTGAAAACCTATCTGTTTGCACACATGCATGCACACACACAGAGACAGACACACACACAACTAAAGTTGTGGCTAAATGTGTTGCATGTTTGTACATTATTGACTTTATTGGAGTACACACTGATGTAGAGCACCATATAAATAAATATTATTATCATATTAATATCATTATTTCAAAGAGAATTTGATTGAGAACATGATCAAATTTTACAGGGGAATATTTTTCAGCATAGCATTACTCTGAGTGTTTTAGTGATGTGCCATCAAGTTGCATGTGGCATATGTGTCAGAGTATTGACAATTTACAGGCCTGAACAGAAAAGAGCAGAAGTAATAATGAGCTACCATGTTGTACAGGTGTGTGATTTGCTGAGTCACAGTGACTCTGGAGAGGTGGTGCCTTGGATGATGCAACCTGAGTACAATATTGCATGACCCTGCTGTGATTGGATAAGAGCAGAGGCTCAACTGTATATATATATGCACTGTTTAGAGAACATGTACCCTCCACCTTCATCTGATGATGCCATGCTGTTATGCTGCCACTTTCTACACTTGTACATATGCTGTAAATACATGTGCTGGAGGAAGCTGAACATGTCTGCGTGTGTTATTTCGCCTTCTGGACCTGAAAATACTAACTCTGCTGGATTCTATCCTGGTTTGCAGTAACAATATAACAACTCTAATAGGGCTTTCAAGGAATGTGAGGTATTTAAGGAGTGGTTTTACCGATGCAATGATTTTCCATGACCAAATGGGGATGAAAAGCCCAGGTCTTTTGACTCCTCAATCCACTTATAGCCACTGGCTCTATTAACATACTCAGTAAAATATCTGTATCATATCTGTGATGAAAAAGTTAAGGGAACATACTCTTTTTTTGTACTGTAAGGTAGAATTGTCACCCAGTATGGTGTAGTACCCTGTTTCCCTGAAAATAAGACAGGATCTTATATTAAATTTTGCTCCAAAAATACATTAGGGCTTATTTTCAGGGGATGTCTTATTTTTTTCATGTACAACAATCTACATTCATTCAAATACAGTTCTGTCATCTTCTTCTGGTTGCTGCGCAATGGTGGAGGGCGGGGTTTCACTTAACTGGGGCTTATTTTTGGGGTAGGGCTTATATTATGAGCATCCTGAAAAATCATACTAGGGCTTATTTTCAGTTTAGGTCTTATTTTTGGGGAAATAGGTTAGATAGAGTGATGGAGTAGGACTCTGGAGAACAGGGTTCGAATCGCTGCTCAGCTATAGAATCTTACTGGGGGAGTAGAATTGGGAAAACCACTCCTTAAATACCGCACGTACCTTGAAAATCCTGTTAGGGTCTCTATAAGTCGGCTCTGGCTTGATGGCACATAGCAACAAAAAGGTAACATTAAAAGGAAAATATTACAGTGCAATCAAATACTCCCCCCCCTTCTATTTAAGTCTTTCAGAGTTCACTGGAACCTATTCCCTTGCAATTGTGCTTAGGACGGCAGTCTTTAAAATGCTTGTTCCTTCTAGCACTGAGTGATGGCCTAATAAAACAAAATAAATCAGTTTATTGATTAATAAAAGGTATATGATTAATCAATTAAAATTGAATGGCTTAGTCTCCTACTAATTTGTATTTTATTAGAATACATCCTAAGCAGTTAAAGCATGGGGAAAATTATCATTTTGAAAACTGAGGATGGAAATTAAAAGAGTAGCACAGCTAACTGAAATTTGTGTTTTCATTCACCTTTACTGATAGATATTTCTACCGAAACAGGACAAAACTCAACATTGGTTTGTTTAATCAGTTGAGGGGCACATTTGTCAGATGTCTGGATTTTGTTAATCATACTTTATTCTTCCTTTTGTGAACTAGCTGGCTGGGTAGCAAAGTAGTTTAGGTATCTGGCTGCGGAAGCCAGAGGGGTGGGAGTTCAATTCCCAGCTGTGCCTCCTGCAAGTACAAGTTGCCTGTGTGGCCTTGGGCGAGCTGCACAGTCCAAGGAGCCCCCAGATGAAAGGAATATGAAACCATTTCTGTGTATTCTCTACCTAGAAAACCCCAAAGAGGGTCACCATAAATCAGAGTTGACTTGACAGAACATGATGATGATGATGATGATGATGATGATGATGATGATGATGATGATGATGATGATGATGATGATCTGAAATGGTCGTTAAGGCCTTACTTTACTCTCTGATTTTAAATTTTCCACACAGAGGGGCCGTTATCCAGACCTCACCCAAAACATTAATTAAAATTATTCCTTCCATGCATATCCTTCTCCTGTAAGGGAGACAGCTTTATGTTTCTGTATGGTTTGCATTTTGTTTTAACTATTCTGCAAGCCTAATCAGCCTTTAAATGCCTATAATGACTGACTGCAGTGTTAAAAATAGAGATGGGAAAAGAGATTTCATGAGCCATATACAGCAAGTTCACATTTGCCTAATTTGTGCAGGTCTTGAGCAAGCCATAATGTTTGTCTCACTGGAAGACTTTATGGTGCTTTATAACAGATATAAAAATCTGTATTTGATGGCTACAAACTTCTCAGCTGAAATGTTAAAATCCCCTTCATTTTGGTCTTATTTCTGAAACTTAATAAGATCAAAGATATACCTATTTATCATCATTCTTAAACACACTCTAATCGCAGAGTAATATTATAAACTTTAACAGAAATTCTAGAAAACATTACTTTTAGAAAGCATTAATGTTAGAAAACATTGTGTGAGATATGCTAGAAAACAAGTTGTTTCCTTACTATTAATCCAACAGTATTATCTATACCAGTGATTCCCAACCTTGGGTAACCTAGGTGTTCTTCACTGCTGTTCCTACAAGCCTTCACCACCAGCTGTGCTTGCCGAGGTTTCTGGAGGTTGCAGTCTTAACAGGCAGCCTTGACCTCACCTGTCTGTCACAGCTGGGCAGTGAATCATCAGCCAATGGTGTGACGGAGGGTGGAACTGAAGGGGAGGAGCTGGTATAAAAACGGGGGTGAAGAGTGTGTGAGAGGAGTTTGAGTCAGAGAACCAAAGTGAGATCAGGAGTGTGAGAGAGTTAAAGAGTTTGTTAGAGGCCTGCGTGCCTGAGTGTCAGTGAGGGAAAGTCTATGTGATTGATTTAAACCAGAAAGTGATTTACACCTTGATTATCTTACTGTGATTTACTTATTTTATTTTGTACTCAATAAACCAGTTTTGTTTTTGAAAGAAACCCTTGTCCTTTTCATTTAAAGGAAAGGTTGGTGGCAGCCAGAGGGTGTAGTGGGCATCCTGAGAAGCCTGAGTGGCAGTGACATGGGAGGGGCCTGCCACGTTACACAGTCCAAGAACACCTGGGTTACCCAAGGCTTGTCTACATCTTTAGGTCCATGAATCAGGAAGAAAGTTAATGAAAGAAATCATGGGCTGTGAAAGATTTTGGGAATGATCACTGTAGCTATTGTTGTGTAATCCAGATAGAGAGAAGAAAACAATCATTATTTTATTTCAAACCTAGTCCTGAGTTGGTAGCACTGCTAAAAATGGTCTTACTGTGTGATCCATGCCATGGTAGATTATCTCAAAGTAGAGAAAAATGTTATAGCTGGTCTTCCTTTTCCTCTGAGAATTATTGAATGTGTAGAGATGCCTTATTAGTCTAGAAATAGTAGCAAGAGTCATCTCTAAAGCCATATTGCTCGCTGAGAATCATAAAGTTGAAAGGAGCTGCAAAAGGTCATCTAGTCCTAAACCACACAGATACAGAAAATCCACTAGTACAGCTACATACCAACCACTGCTTACAACAGCCTTATAAAGGCATTCTGTTCTACTGTTGAACAACTCACACTATCAGGAAGATCTTCCTTCCAGCAGGGCTTTGGAAGTAGTAATGGATTAAGACTGCTCTGCTGAGTTTATTTTCTGTCCACACTAGATAAGCTGAAAATATCACTGTGCCTTCAGATGTGCTCAGATAAAGCTGCCCCGGACAATCTAGGCTTTTGGGGAAACTAGTAAAAAATCACATTCAACTTGAAAAATGTTACCCTCTTAGTTTCTGCTTTGGAAAAAGCTTCATGTAAAATAGTGTG